CTGAAGAATGCTGTTGAAGGACGACATTTAACTTTAGTCTACATATATAGTGTCGCCTAACATTTTTAATGAGTTTTTTCATCTTAAATTTTATTCATTTATGTTTTAGATCATTCTTTTCATATTCTACTAGATATATAATGTAATAATTAAGTTTTAAAAAATATGTGTATAGAATAGTTTTTAAAATATTTCGAAATCTTTAGTCCTAACGCTAACATATGTATATTGGTATAATACGAGAAAATGTTGATTTAAGCCTACACTATAGTTTAATGTAATTATTTAAGATTGGAAAAATATATTATCTACATAATTATATTTTTATATAGTTTTTTAGGTAATATACTAAAAAATTTTATTAATAAGTGATAATAATGCTTGTGAAGATTTATACTAGTTATATAGGATTTTTTTTTGTTTATTTTATTGTTTTATGTTATCGTTTTATCGTTTTATGTTATAGTTTTAAAAAATTTAATTTTGCGCACTTTACGCACTTTAGCACATTTGCATGATGATTTGCATGATGATTCATGCGTATTTTTTAAAGCTTTATTTTGGGCTTTAATAAATGAACTTTATTTGCGTACTTAGATAATGACATCACAAGTTGGTTTTTTTTTTTAACCAGGTAAAAGTTTTGAACTAGGCTTAGGGTAACTTATGTAAAAGAGACTCAAAAGACTTAGAAGACTCAAAGTTCTGCAGTGAAAGGTTCCAAACTCGCCTCTAAAATTCAATCTACAAACAATTCATTTGAGAATTACATCGAGGACTCTCGTTGCTCCCTAGTTTTTAAAGAACTAGAATACGAAGAACTTGAAACAGCAATTAAAACATTAAAAATTAACAAAGGTCCAGGTATCGACAATATCCCAGCCAATATTATTTTGAATGTCTTCCCAAAAAAAAGTAAACCCATTTTTCAAATATTTAACTCTTCAATAATTAAAGGAATTGTACCCGACTATTTAAAAATAGCTAAAATTATTCCTATCTATAAATCCGGAGATACATCTTCCTTACATAATTACAGACCAATATCAATCCTTCCCGTATTTTCAAAACTGCTCGAACGAATAATCTACAATCGTTTATATAAATACCTAACCACAAAAAAAATCCTGAATGAAAACCAATATGGTTTTCAAACTCAGCACTCGACAGAGCATGCTATCGTAGACCTCGTCAATAGAATTAGTGAATCAATCTATGAAAAGAAGTTTGTATTAGGAGTCTTTGTAGACTTGTCAAAAGCATTCGACACAATAAATCATGAAGTCCTACTAAAAAAGTTGGAAAAATACGGAATAAAAAACCATACACTGCAGTGGTTTAAAAGTTACCTGTATAACAGACAACAGTGTGTTATTACAGATGATAATTACCACAGTAAATTATTAAAATTAACTTGTGGTGTTCCTCAAGGTTCGACTCTTGCTCCTCTTTTGTTCCTAATCTATATAAACGACCTTCCAAAAGTTTGAATTTATAATGTTTGCAGACGATACAAATTTATTTTAATCTTCGAAAAACATCAAGGATCTGTATGATAATGTAAACATAGAACTCCAAAAATTAAATATATGGTTTAGAACAAATAAGTTATCCCTAAAAATAGAAAAAACAAAATACACTTTATTTCACGCAAACCAACAAAGAAACACACTACCAAATATTCTACCCTCTCTAAAAATAGAAAATATAGTAATTGAGAGAACTCACGAAACTAAATTTTTAGGAGTTATAATTGATGAAAATTTATCTTGGAAAAGTCACATAAATGCTTTAAACACTAAAATATCAAAAAACATAGGTCTACTTTATAAAGCAAAACCTATTCTGTCGCAAAGTAATTTAAAACTTATATATTTCTCTTTTATACATAGCTACCTCATATATGCGAATATAGCTTGGGCGAGTACGCATATAACCAAATTGAAAACTTTATATCGACGTCAGAAACATGCTGTTAGACTAATCTACCATAAAGACAAATTTACACACACTGAACCCTTATTTAAAGAAATGAATGTGCTTAATATTTATCAAATTAATATTTACCAAAATATATTGTTTATGCTAAAATTTAAATTAGGTCAAGTACCAAACTTTTTTTTAAATAACTTTTTTATAAATAACGTTAATAAATATAACACAAGAGAAAAAGGAAACTTTATTACACCTTTCAAAAAAACAAAACTTTCCCAGTTCTCAATTTCATATCGGGGTCCTTATTTATACAACAAACTAGTAACTAAAAATAAATCAATTTGCAATCTAGATTCAATTTGCAATCAAAATTTCTTGAAAAAAAAGTTAAAAAATCTGATACTGAATCTAAACAGATACTCAGAATTCTTCTAAGACTATAAATTAAAATACATATATATCAACTACAAAGTGAACTGACTCGTTTATGTGTATTATCTAAATGACTCTTACCTTTCTCAAACAATATATCAAAAATTGTTTATTACACACAAAAAAAACACTTGATTTTTTCTTATCAAGTTTAGTTATTATGCTGCTAGCTATGTCTAATATTTTATACTGAGCTTATTTTGAGTTTATTTTTTATTATGAGCTAAAGTTAAAGAATATATAAACATAGTTGTACTTAATATATAATTATATTTAACATAATCATAATAATATATTAAACACATTGTAAAGGCTTCGTGATAAGATCATTACGATCTTCTTGAAGTCCGGCCTGTACTATTTAATTATAAATTTCACTATATATTTTGACTCACGAGACTTGTAAATATTACTTTTAATTTACGAAACTTGTAAATGTTATATGTACGGCAAATATATGAATAAAAAAAAAAAAAAAAGAAAAGCGCTTTGCAGATTGACTTGTTATTGAGCTAAGGGACCATTCGTATATTAATATTCCATATATTAATATATTAGCAAAAATCTTTAGATTTGGACCCCTTCCCTCCCCCTTGTTGCACCTCGTACGTTTTTATACTCCCCCTCCCCCGTGCATACTTAAGCTTGAAGATCTTAACCCCCTCCCTACGGTGGACTTACCTCTCCCCCTCCATATAAGTTTATGCTCGGCGGCCTAGCCCCCTACCCCTATTTCCATTCACGCACGTGAACGTGATCACTTTTTCTTTGGGCCGTGAACTTAAGCCGTTCACCTTTTATTAATGTGTAAGTAAACGCGAACTGCCACCTTAATCCGTCAACACCTTTGCGTTTGCGTACATACATTTAGTGGACCCTCGACATCCCTTCCTTCCATACGCACTCATACGCAAATTATTCAACTTGGAACACCCTCCCCCTCGGTGCATACGTAATTATGGATGGCCCCTAATTGAAAGTAAATATGCGCGATTAACCAAAACACACAAGATAAATTAATAATAAACATACAATTATATTTTTATTTTTTCATTACAACTGTCGTGAAAAATTTTTGGAATGTTTTTATAACCTACTTTACTAAAGTATTTGATTGTTCAAATTTAATTCTAAAGAAACTTTAACAAACCTTTTGCTAATATTTAAAAACTTATAAAAATATTAAACCTTTAAAACATTTTTTTATATAGAAATTTTTTATATAGTCAAATCTTGATCTCGTTTATCTAATAATAATGGAACTATGTATTAATTAAAGCATTTTCTTAATTCAACTTGTTTAGAAAATATTTCTCTATTATTCTTTTATTCTCTATTATTATACTTTTGATAATTGGCAACAAACGAGACTTCTTCTGAAACTTTAAAATAGGAGTGATCACTTGTTTTTTTACTTGTTACTTGTTGTTCATATTTATTTTTAATTTTAATTTTTACCTTTCTTTAATGTTTTATCGCATTTTTAATTGTTTTTATATTCGAAATCTTAATAAATAAAAGTTTGAAAAAAAAATTATATATGTATAAAAAGTATTTTTATACTTGCATTTATATATGCGCTATATGCATATATTACATTGTGATAACGGTAATATATATATATATATATATATATATATATATATATATATATATATATATATATATATATATATATATATATATATATATATATATATATATATATATATATATAGGGTAAAGTAGGGTAATTTCGGCAGGGAGATAATTTCGGCACCACTTCAAAAGACACCTAAAAATATTTATTTAATGAAATATCAAAACTATAATTGAGTATTATAGAAAGATAAACAGTTTTTCTAAAAATATTAGTTTAAACTTCTATTTTTACATTATAGGTACGTTATTTTATGATTATTAGGTTTTTCTTAACATTTTTTCCTTTTTGAAAATAGAGGATAAATGATTTTTTCCGAAAATTTCTACCAAAAATTTGTATTTATTTCATTCAAAAATATATACTGAACAAAATGTGAGCAACAATAAAATTAAACTCAAAGTATTTTACAAGATATAAGAGTTTCCCCTAGGACTGCTTTAAGGAGATAATTTCGGCTTATAAATAGTTCTTAATTTCGGCAGTGCCGAATTTGCCGACCTGTTGTTTCTCCAAAACTAAAATGGAAATAAACGTTTTAAATATTATGTATAGAAGAAATTGATTTTAGTAACTCAGATAATAGTAAACTAATAACGAGTTAGTAAAAAAGTGAATTTAGTTAGTGACACTGTGAAACTTATCAAAATAGTAGTTCCCCACAATATATTTTAAATTTATGTCATACATAACAATATGTATATAATAAATTTATAATTTGTTATATACAATAATTATTATTGTATATAACAAATCATTTATTAATTATATACACACTGTTGAATATTATTGAATAATATACATAGAATAATAATATATATATATATATATATATATTTATATAAATATATATATATATACATATATATATATATATATATATATATATATATATATATATATATATATATATATATATATATATATATATATATATATGTGTGTGTGTGTGTATATATATATATATGTAAACATTATTTTACAGCATCATATAATGAGTTCAAAACGTGTAAAATATGGTAATTGGTCACAAGAATCATTAAAAATGGCAGTAAATGCAGTTTTAGTTGATGGTTGCTCGAAATATTCTGCTGCTAAACAATATAAAATACCAAGACAAACACTACATGACTATATAAATCGAGCCCCTGTTGATAATTTTGTTAAAAAGTTACGTGCAGGACACCCAACAACACTCTCAGCTTTTCAAGAAAAAGAGCTTGTAGAAGTTCTTCTGACCATATCACAGAGATTGTTTGGTTTGTCTCCAAAAGATGTAAAACAAATGGTATTTCAGTTTTGTGAAGAAAATAGAATTATTCACAAATTTAATTGTGAAACTAAGTCAGCAGGAAAAGAATGGTTTAGGGGTTTTTTGAAACGCCATAATGAACTCTCTGTCAGAGTTGCTGAGTCAACGTCATTGCATCGAGCCATTGGTTTTAATAGAATAAAAGTTAATCGTTTTTACGATGAACTAGAAAAAATAATGTTTAATGTTAATGGGATGCAGATTATTCCACCATCAAACTTATTCAACGTAGATGAATCTGGATTGTCTATTTGCCATAAACCAGGAAAAGTTGTTGCTCTTAAGGGAAAACACAGTGTTGGTGGCTTAACAAGCTCCGAAAGAGGTAAAACAATCACAATAGTTTGTTGCCAATCAGCAAGCGGGTTTTTTGTCCCTCCAATGTTGATCTATCCACGTATTTGAGTGAAACCTGAATTTTTAGATAAAGCCCCAATAGGTTCTATTTCTGGTGGCAGCAAAAATGGCTGGATAACAACTGAGTTGTTTGAAATATGGTTTGATCATTTTTTACAAGCAGTCCAGCCTCAGTCAAGAAACCAACCAGTTCTTCTAATTTTAGATGGACATTCAAGTCATAAAAAAAATCTTAGTGTTATTAAAAAAGCGCGCCACTCAAATGTTATTATTTTATCACTTCCATCCCACTGCACCCACTAACTGCAACCACTTGATGTTTCGTTTTTTAAAAGCCTCAAAATATTCTATGATCAGGAGGTTAGTACTTGGCTTCGTCACCATCCTGGTCGTCCCGTAACTGAACTAGAGGTTGGTGAATTATTTGGAAAAGCCTATGGGAAAGCTGCAACTGTTCAAAATTGTCAGTCAGGGTTCAAAAAATGTGGAATATATCCATTTGATAGAAATGTGTTTACTGAAGAAGACTTTGCTGCAGCCAAGGCTACTGATCACTCGTATGTTGTATCAAAAATTTCAAAACCAAATAATACCTCTGAAATGCACCCTACTCTCAACAATGGGTTAGACTCTGCTAAAGAATTAGATAATATTGATTTTGTTACAGATTGTGTTATTGACACTCAAAAAGGTAAATCGTCATAAATGTTGTATTATTTTTAACATCTTCCGCATTTTATTTAAAATACAAATATGACTTTTTTAAAATCAAGCAAAATATTAACTTATTTGTTGTTTTATTAACCTAAAAAAAGGTTTCTTAAAGAAAGTTTAAATTTTTTAAAAACATTTTAACTATTTTTTATAATTTGCATGTTGCCTATTTTTATTCACCCTCTTTAGTTAAATAATTTTTATTTAGAATCTATTTCACCAAATTCATCATTTACACTTCAGAAGTCATCAGAATTAGCCACCTCACACGATGAAACCTCACAACCTTATGGTGTTACATTTGGATCACTAGCTGGACTTGACATTAAAAATGCAAAGCGAACAGGTATAAAAAGGAGGGTAAATCATGCTGAAAAAATTACTGGATCACCATATAAATCTCAGCTAGAGGAATCTTTAAACTTGAAATATAAGAACAGACAGCCGCATAAAAAGTGCATTAAAAAAAGTATATCTACTCATCAAAAGACGTGTTTGAAAAACCTTGATGCTAAAGGTGCAATTAATAAACAACTTTGTGCAAAGTGTCAATACAGCTATGGTGATCCTGTCGATCCTTATTTAAAAGATAATTGGGACAAATGCCTTAAATGCTGTAGATGGTGGCATGAAACATGTGCTGCTATATGTGGTGTTTATACTAAAAAAGTATTTACTTGTGATGACTGTACTGATTCTTAAAAAAAAAGTTATATGTCATATATTGATAAAATGTGTTTTAACTTTCTTAAATAAATCTCTTGTTAAAAAAATTTCCTTTGAGTTTTTTTTTTTTTTTTTTAAGTATAACTATTGAAGTTATGTAAAATATTATTTTATGAACTACTTATGAGCTTTTAAACATAAATTCTTATTTAAACAGAATTTAGAAATAATCATCGAAATCGTAGAAATTAGTAATCGTTTCATTAACAATTATACTTTGGAAGCACATTTATATTTAATAAGGTTTCTGTTTTGGGTGACATTCATACCTTAATAAAAAAGGTGACATTCATACTTTAAAAATACATGACATTCATACTTTAATAAAATAAATAGGTGGTTCAAAAATTATTATTTTTTGCAACTGAAACGCCCTTAATTAAGTGCCAATTAGGTGTAACAAATTCTATTTAAGAGACAATTCTTTATACAATCCAGATTTATAGCTGTTTATAATATTTTAAACATATTAATGCGTTTTCAACAAACTTCTTAATTTTCATAACTATGCCGAATTTACCGTACCATAGTGCCGAAAATACCATACTAGGTCGCTAATTTCGTCATTTTTGAGTATTTTGTAAAACAGGTTTTACGTAAAACTTTGTAAGTTGGAAACAATTTTTTAACTATTATTTAATAGATATATCTGCAGTGTATCGATATGCATGATTTTTTAACATTATTAAAGCAACCGTTGTCTATAAACAGCAAAATAGCTTAATACGCCGAAATTACCCTACTTTACCCTATATATATATATATATATGTATATATATATATATATATATATATATATATATATATATATATATATATTTATTTATTTTTTTTAATTTTTTTTTTTTTGTTCTTTTATTTTTACAATGTAGTGATTCTACATGACTGGTACAATGTTATGTTTTTTAAAATATATAATATTAAAAATATATCACAATTTTATAGAATACAAAAAATATGATTGCAGGGTATCATTAATATTAAAAAAACGCGAAAAATTTGCAAAAGACTAGATAGACTTGTCATCAAGAAACCGCTTGTGCTTGTAATATTTTTTGTAATTTCGTTTTACAATGTATCTAGTTTCACCAAATAATTCATTTTAAATTGGGTTTACATAATAAAATGTAAAAAAAGTTGGTAAATGGTGTTTGTAGTACACATAATACACATAAATATATTATTAGGCATAAATATGAACTGACGTGTTTTTACAGCAAAAGAATTTTCTTTAAAAAATAAAAATAATAATAATAAAAGTATATTAATTTTAGTTTTTAGTATTTAATTATCTTTATAACCGAAATTATTCTTCAAATTTATCTAACTATCTTCAAAAATTTTGCAACACAAAATTAAAAATGGCGAAACTTACTGTTTCACAAATCAAGGAGCTGTTAGAGTTGCATGAAAGTACACTGTTAAAAATATTTAATGATAAGTTTGAAAAAATAGAAAACAAGCTCATTAGTATGCAAGTAGAAAATACAACTTTAAAAAATGAAATCAGCGAATTAAAGAAGTCTGCTGAGTTCATAAATGAAAAATACGAAAAAATTTTAAACGAAGTGAATGATTCTAAAAAGAAAACATCAACATCGAATTTAAACAAAACTAGCATAGAACTTGAACACAGCGATAATATAATTAAAGACAAACTAGCAGAATTGGAGGACCGCAGTTGGCGAAACAACTTAAGATTCAATGGGATCCAAGAAAGTGAAAATGAAACTTGGGAAGAAAGTGAAAAAAAATACACGAACTATTAAATTCAAGACTTGGTATTAATAACAATATAATAATTGAAAGAGCACATAGAACTGGAAAACGTGATTATGGTGGAAAAATGAAAAACAGAACTATAGTTGTCAAATTTTTAAACTATAAAGATAAACAAACGATAATGGAAAATTACTCGAAGTTAAAACTCTGGACAGAACGCCTATACATTAATGAAGATTACTGCGAAAGAACAACGGAATTAAGAAAGAAATTGTTTATTGAAGCGAAAGAACTTAGAACAAAAGGTAAATATGCAAAAGTGGTTTATAATAAACTTGTTACGCGCGATGCTTAAAAATAGGAATTCCTTTGTTTTCGCTAGGCACAAAAAGTATACTAAACTATTAAAATGGATTCAGTTTTACTAGATAATTTTAAATTAACCTTTAATTTTTTTCAAACAAATAAATACCTTATTGAAGAGAGATCTGATCCAGATCTAAATTATTTTAGCGAAGCAGGTGCTTTACAAAATAATTGTTGTTATTTTTACGCACATGAAATAAAGGACTTCCTAGAGCGTGACCATTTGAATGCCTTGCATATAAATATAAGAAGCTTAAAAAAAAATTTTGAAAGCTTTTGCTTATGTATGAAAGATATTCTAAACGTTTTTAATATAATTTGTGTAACCGAAACGTGGTGCGATTCTGACGAAGTGAATTATGACTGTAATATCCATTTACCTGGTTTTAAAATAATATCATTAGCGCGTAAAGCAAATAAACGAGGCGGCGGTGTGCTTATTTACATAATGGAAAGTTTTCAATTTTTTACAAGGCTCGACCTGAGTATTTCTGATGACGATAAAGAGATTTTAACAATTGAAATTTTAACCCAAAAAAATAAAAACATACTTTTAGGTTGTTATCGCCCACCTTCTGGAAAAATTGAATGCTTCAACACATATTTAAATACTAATATTATGAAAAAAGCTGACGAAAATAAATTAATCTATATAATTGGTGATTATAATTTAAATTGTTTTGATTATCACGTCAAGCAAAGCACACAAAAGTTTTATAACGAATTATTCAAAAATGGAGCGTTTCCTTTAATAGATAGACCAACCAGAATTACCGAAAAAACGGCTTCAATAATCGATAATATTGTAACTAACAATGTTTTTAATGAATCTTTAAAAAAGGGTATTATTAAAAGTGACATTTCCGATCATTTCCCCATTTTTTTCTCTATAAATATAAAACCAAAAGTACTACCTAATGAAAAAACAACCTTTTTAAAACGTATCTATAACAAAGCTAATTTATTATCGTTTCATGAACAACTGTCATTGCTTCATTGGAAAGATATAAACACTTCATCTGACGTAAACTTTGCTTACAACCAATTTTTTAAATCTTTCTATGAGGTATATGATGTAAATTTTCCGAAACGCGAAATAAACTTAAAAACCAAAAGTGTAAAATCACCATGGATTACAAACACCCTAAGAAAATCATCAAAAGTCAAACAAAAGTTGTACATTAAATACCTTAAAGAAAAAACGATAGAAAGTAAAACCATCTACAAAAAATATGCGAGAGAATTTGAAAAAATTAGAAAGAATCTTAAAAAAAAATACTATTCCGATTTACTTATGCGATACGAATGTGATTCAAAACGCACATGGCAAATTTTAAGAGAAATTACCGGTAAAACAAAAATTAAATCATGCGCTCTGAAAAATGGCATTAAAATTAATGGTGATATCTCTTATGATCCACGTGAAATAGCAATCGAACTAAACAAATTTTTTGTCACGATCGGACCTAATTTAGCAAGAAATATACCAAATATAAAGAAAGCAAGTGATATCTCATCTA